TTTTTTAATTCATAGACAAACTAGAGTCGACCCCAACTTATTATATAATAGACTATTTTTCCATCCTCTAAGGCCCCAACTGTCATATCGTTCGATATCAAGTAACGTGTGAGGTTTGTCAAAATTGTTTGCTATTGACGTTTCATTTCGAAGAAAACTTCTCGACTGATATTGCAATTGAGGTCGAATCAAATTGTTTTGTTTTTCAGAGATGTTCAGAATTTAAATGTAATAATAAAATCGACTTTGATGTTATTAATATGCAATAATAACATTCTCACAGATAAAAAATTTGTTCTAACAAAAAAAGTTTATCTTTATGCTGGTCATAGTTTGCGGTTTTTGAACACATCATACACAGAAAAAAAGGATTTCTACTAATAAGAAAGAGCAATTTCTCAAAATATTTGCTAATTCTGAAAAAATATTTATTAAAAGTAATAAAATATTGTCACTACAAAAATACGGCTTATCTTTTTCTAATACAATTTTACTCTTAACTTTATTCTAACTTTGAGACAAATACGTTCACTTCAAGATTTTATTTCATTTCTAATCAATTAATTGGACATTACTTATATCAAGAAATTTTTACCTCTTACATCAAATTTAAATAATCTTAAATGAATTCAAAATTTCTTGGGTGTATTTTAAGAAAATATATTCTTAAACAAAAAAAGAAGTAGTTTTCTATTCAGATTAATATTCTAAATTCTAGAGTATATTCTTAAAGCAACATTTCGTTGCGTTTTCATAGTCAATCTTGTCGTGACATGTCGCCGAAGGCGCACGCGGTAACGATTACTTTTACTTGTGCTTGTAATCATAAAAATCATAAACAGTCATTTATCCAAAGAAACAATACGTAGTATCTCTAGTTTGTTAGGGTGTTCTTTATAGTCATAATTCAAGAAAATTGGTTACAGCATGAAATCAAACTATATACACTTGTAACAAGCATAACATGCAATTAGTTCCATCACGCCACTGCTAGATGGCATTAGATGTACTCTGAAACGCGCTATCGTTTTGTTAACTTCAATAGTATAAAGTCATCTCATATATTTGGAATTGTTAGTGCTTTCTGCCGCTGTAGCATTTATACGGCACTGGATGGTCCTCAAGTATTTGAGAGGATTCCATACTTCCATCCTATTTCTGCTACTTTAAGGTTTGGCACTGTTGGGTCCATAACCCTGTAAATTTATCCTTTTTGATATTAGAAAACATAAATCTTCAGTCAAATAATTAAGTACGTCTCAATTTTTTTCCTTTTTTTTTTTCAAATCAAAATCGGACATTTCTAGTAACAAATAAATATTTTGTTGAATCTAGAGTGGCTTTGTGACTTGAAGTAAATTAATTTGCTCTTGGATTAAATATTTTTGTCTTGTAACGAAAATACACTTTTGAGACGTTTTTTTACTATTATCAAGTAATTATTCTCTAGCGTCTATAGGGAGAGAATCGTTTTGTTGGATTTAATAAATTTGTCTTCATAAAAAGAATTTTGTCTTTTTCTAAGTAATCTGTTTTTACCGTGTAGAGGGTTCATGATATGTGTGTAAATAAACTATTTTTTCGCATCTAAATCTCGTATATTTTCAAAGAAACCAACGTTTAGGGCCCTTTACAGGTACCATGGGCACGGATGACTGCTATGGTAAACTCATCAGCCAGCAAATCATCATATGTTGATGACTGTACTAATCTATACAAATAAGGACTCTGGCAGGGTGTTCAAATGAACTATTTATAGATATTTAACGACCACTGTGGTCGAGTGGCTTCTGCACCGGTTTTCATGGTGTGGCCATTTCTGAGGTCCGGTCCGATTCGTTTCCGGGCCAATGTAGAAGACCATCGTTCCCGATTTCCATAACACAAGTGCTTTAGTTACTTTGGGAACAGAGTAGCGTAGGTAATGTTGTCACTTGCGATTTATAGGCGATTGCATCGATGCAAACGCGCGTCTGCATCGATACAAACGAGCGATAGCATCGATGCAATCGCCTATAAATTCCAAGTGTAGCGATACAATCACGCGTTTGTATCGATGCAGTCGCATGCTTGCATCGTGTTTGCATCGCTTTTTAAAATCGCGCATGTGTGTAAAGGTAGACGATTAGCGACTGCATCGCTACTGCATCGCGTTTGCATCGCTGCTAACAGTCGCCGTGTATAAAGAGCGTTTTAAAGAAAATGAGGCTTAATAAACCTTTTAAAATCAATCTTTTAGGGTCAAATCGCCGTGTGTCACCGCTCTAATGTTTAATATTTATTTATATGTTTATCTATCTTTAATATATAATAAGTATCTATTACAATTTAAAATCACGTTAACGAAATCAAAACATTTATTTAATTATTTATTTAGACCGTGTGTGGACGAATACACGGTAAACGAAAAGTTTTACGAATCTGTTTGATATACGTATATACTGTTTTTTTTCACGATGTTTGCCTCCATTATTAAAGTAATTTAATTTGAAAACATTCATACATATATATATAATTTTAATTTGTAGTCGTGACTAGCGTCCAAAATATAAGATTTTTTTATAAAGAATCCACCTAACAAGTTCTACTAAACAACCCGCAAAAAAAATACAGCCAAATTCTGGCAAAGCAGAAAATATAGCGCTTAAACCCTTGGAGAGTCAGCGCAGCATTTGAAATTTAGAGGAGGAAATGCGGAAAATGGGGGCTTAGAATGAACACATACGGGACCATAATTTGCACTGGACTGTTGCGTTTATACTTAATATAGATCTCTGTCTACCTATAATAATAACAATAACGCACACATTGAACATAGCCCCGCACTAGGGAAACCCTGTGTCGCGGGTACCATGGACACATACATAGACAACCACAAGTTACACCCAAACTCACGAGAGAAATAATGTAGGCCATACAAATATTTCTCCCGGCCCGGGAATCGAACCTGGGACCTCTGCGTGGCAGTCCGGCATGGTAACCGTTCGGCCACAGAGGCAGTTAAATATACGAGGAGTACATCCACAACATTAAGCTGTGAAAGCTACTGAACTATCACTGTTAATCAAGAATACGATTAAGTACAGGAAATTGTATTCCTGCAACTATTTATAAAACTCTCGGAAGTTGAACAGATTTCAAAACATCTGTATATTCCAATTTTTCATCCCGAACGGTTTCCTAAGTAATAGTGGCGTATATAAATATATAATAATAATAATAATAATAATATGCCAGGCAACCTAGTACTAGTAGCAGTAGAGCTCCTTGTGAAAGAGTTAGTCCAAGGAAATACTGGCAATACTGCCCTGGACGAACTCTTTCACAAGTTTTTTTTTTCACAAAATTTGATTCCTTCTGCTTATTAATTTGATTTGATAAGTGTTTTTTTATAATATCAAGTAACGGGACGAACAAGTCGTGCGCCTGACGGTAAGCTACATGCCTGTCCATAACAGTTGCAGTGTCCTCCGAGCTTCAAATTGCAAAGATCTCATGGGCACCGCCACTGCGTCTGTCACCTTGAGATATAAATTGACAAGTCCCATGAGCCTGTAATTTCACCAGCACCCTTACCCTTTAAAACCGGAACACAGTAATGCTGACATACCTGCTTGGCGGCAGAAATAGGTAAGGTGGCAGTACTTCTCTGGACGAACTCTGTCATAAGGAGCTCTACTGCTGCTAAGTGTACAATGTCAGAATATCTTTCCGTGTGTTTTTGAAACCCACTTGAGTGCAATTTGTCCAGCGACGTCGCTGAGGGCTCTCCACGGCGAAACTAAACTCAACTTGTAGTTTTGTGAGCAAATAAACTTACTTTTTGCCGACCAACTTTTTTTCATTGCGAAACTAGCTCGAGCATGCTTCAGCGAAACGATTTTTGTTAGAATGAGTATACTAGTCTCTGCATCTTCTTACCCCTATAGTTAGCCATAACCACGGCTCGCAATTGGCATAGTGTGCTTACCCAAACTTCTTCCTTTAAGTAATATACAGAAAGTGGATGATACCTTCCTCTAAAAATCCTGGTTTATTATAATTGTATTGTATTTTGTAGTATATTTTTAGATTTGCCTTGCTCTGCGTTATTAGGCTGGTTCTAGAAATGAATGGGTCTTAGGTCGATAGATGATATTATAGATGATATATGTGTATATATTTGTAAGGCCTATGTGTGTGTCTATGGCACCCGCAATACAGGGTTTCCCTAGTGCGGGGTGTGAGTATGTGCTTTAAAAAAAAGGAAAAGAGGAGTAATTCACAAAAAAATAATGAATAACAAAGTACTAAAACATTAAAAATCGAAATTACAAATGTTAAAGCGACGTTTCTTGTCAACATCTGCCTCTGTGGCATGGCTACACATGATAGTCGCGACACGCGCAATAAAATTGGAATAAGCGCGCGCTATTGGCTGTCGCAATAACATCTAGTTTAGATTTAGACTATCATGCGTAGCCATGCTACGGGAGCTGGAATCTGTAAAAGTACCTGGTTGAGTGAAGAAAAAACTTCCATAGATCTCGTACGTGCTACGGCAAAACAGACGTTAAAAACCAAAAACAAAGATCTGTAACGAACGCGTAGTGAAATTCGTGAAGTTTACTGACTCCATGTGTAGCTCAGTCAGTCATTGGTTCATATCCCGTCAGATCTAAGGCATTTTTCTTTGTGTTCGATCGTTTTTGTTGATAATCATAGCTTTGTTGCGTTTTGGGAGTTTTTTTTTACTTGGTACGTTATGACTGTGATTGTGTGTGACTACACTATACTTTACGGCAGCAGTATATTTTGAAGCAACATAATTGTAATAAAAATTAATCATTTAGACGAAAAAAAAAAGATAAAACATATTTCTGAGAAAAAGTGCATTTATGTCAAGTTCTCAAGCTGCACTAAATTTTCTCTCTTAATTATAACTTCTCTTTATTCTTAATATAGACAATTTATGAACTGTTCCTGCTTCGGAATTAAAGTGTTCTTGTTGTTTGTTACAGGTGGAGCGGGTGTAGGATGTGAAGAGGTGCGCCCGCGCCTGCTGCACATGCGCCTGCGCCGCGAGCTGCGGACATGGCATCTCGGAGATAGTGCCAGGTAAGAGTCCACAATCATTCTTTATAATTTTTCACTCACGGCTATTTTCTGACCAATGGGACGACTTTATTTTATACACGTAACTTTCGGGTTAAATCATTAATTATATATGTTTTTAAATGTATCATGTATTTGAAGCGGCAAATAATGAAGTTTGTAATATGTACAAATTAGAAATGAATTGTAAAAAACAGTGTCAGAAGTTAATTTATCATTTATAGTATTTCTATTCCATATAGCTTTCTGTCTTCTGTTTCGTAGCATATTTAAAACCGTACATGTCATACTGCATAGCAGTTTTAATACAGCCTGTTAATAATTTTGTGTTTTTTTTATAAATAATATTTTTCATTTTATTCCTTATCGTTTTATCCTATTACTACCTAAATATATCTAATATACATTTTAACGACTATTTTTAAATAAAGTAAGGGAGTGATAACGTACATAATTCGCTCCCTTCGGGTAATAAAGCCTCATTTGCAAAATTACGTATTTTCAGGAGAGAGGTTTAAAGATTCTATGAACGAAATTGGTTGATTTAATTTGTAAGAAAGTTCTAAGTTGTATAACCAAGTCTTTATAAATAAGCTTAACCTTAAATAGATGAGTTGTAAAATTTTACATGTACATTATTTGTTTTATGTATTTCGCATTATTTTTATGACTTTTAATGTGATAAAAACACTTTTAACAATGATCACATGAGGCTTTATTATACCATGGATATGTGTTGTAAATTTATTGGCGTAATTAAAAATTCGATCTTTGTAAAAAAATTCTTTTGTATTTTAAATGCAAACTGCCAACTTTAAAATTATCCGTACCATAATTTGCTAGCACCTTATATATATATCCCTAGGATATGACACAAAGTACTCTTACGTCGTCGTCGTGCCGGCACATACATACGACTTAATTATTTTTCTACTCATATTATGAGCATGTTTCAACCGCAACTCAAGGGTTGTCATTTACCTAGAAGCTGCGTATATTTTAAGTCTGCTGGCAGCCATATATTACTTTTACGAATAAATCCACGAGATATCTTACCTATTTATGTCGCCAAGCAGTAAAGTTGTGCATTGGCGCGTCCCGCTTTTGAAGAATAAGGGTGCTGGTGAAATCTTAAGGTGATAGACGCAGGGGCAGAGAGCCCCCAAACTTTGCAATTTAAAGATTTGAGTGGCAATGCAATTTTGTCATGGATTGGCTTGTCGCTTGTCACTGGGACCAGGACCGTAATTCCGAATTCTAGCAAATACAGCAGCTTCTCTTCAAAGTCTCATAGCACGGTATTTATATCATTAAAACAAAAAAAATTGTTCTACAATTTCTGTAAAAATCAAAATGTGGAGGTCGATTCTCGTGCAGTAGAGATATGTAGAACAATGTCAACGTAACATGGTGAATGTCGATCAGTTAAAATATTTGATATTCTTACAATGGACTAAATCGACAACCGCTCGGAATGCTACGGTCGCAAGCAGTTCAAGTTGTCACACATGAAGTTGTCTGAAAACGACAGGATATTATTATGGTTATAATTTCTATGGATTTTTTTATAATATCAAGTGACGGGTGCTCGTCCCGTCGCGTGCCTTATGGTAAGCTACACGCCTGTCTATAACAGTTGCAGTGCCATTCAGAGCTTTAAATCGTAAAGATCTGAGGGGCACTGTCACTACACTCACCCTGAGACATAACTTGACAAGTCCCATGTGCCTGTAATTCATTCAAAACCGGAACGCAGTACTGCTAACATTACTGCTTGGCGATAGAAATAGGTAAGGTAAGGCAGTACTTCCCTGGACGAATTCTCTCACGAGGAGCTCTACTGCTGCTTTAAATTACAATGACGTAAGTTAGACTTTTGGTCAAGACATTATTATGACATGTCATAACGTTACGTTTTCTTACATTCAGTTAATTAACTAGAAACAGACTTAATAGACCTTGATTTTGTTGTATAAAGATTCTTTATCGATTATGTTTTAAATACAATCGATTAAAAATTAAACGTGTATAATTGAGTTTTAAAAATATTTCCTAGCAACTCTATCGATACCGAGAATAATATGTTTTTTGTACAGTAGATATTATAATAACACACGTATGAACGTTTTCTGTATATATTTAGAATGTAAAAAGATTTTCAAAACGAGATAATGTCTCATCATATAAGAATTGATCTCCCTAATTTATAATGATTTGTATTGATAGAAAAACGTAATATGTCATAATTCGTTGCACAAAATATAATCCAGCGTCCAAATGGTTTTAGAAAATTAACCATATATTAAAAAGATGGCATTATATGGCGAATATAGAAATCCTTTTCAAAAGTTTATTTGTACAGCAGTGAATGATGATACGCTGTTGTGGTTTAGTCTTGGTCTGCGACTCTTTAATCTTCATTCCGTAGTTCGTAACAATACACAATGCCGTCTAAAGAATAGACCTTATTGTGTATTATGCAAAGATAAATATCACCTGCTACCTAATTTGTATTTCCTACACTATATATACATGAACCTAACAAGAAAATGTGTGTTTGCGTCAAAACAGTTTATTGGTAAATACATACGCAGCATCACGTTCGGTAATATACAGTCTACGGCAAAGGTGTTCTTAACATAAGCAAAGATTTTGTGTCAGCGTTGCGCACGCTGTGATGTTTACTGTTTGTCTGTTAGGGACAGAGATATAATTTATGTCGATATGGGCGTTCAATCACTTTTAATAACTTTTAGACGGGTTGCGAAATTTCGTTTAACATTTGAATTAAAATTCGTTTTCTTAAATCGGTGTTTCCATTACATTGTAAAAAGATAGTGTTTGCAGGCGTATATAACAGTAAAAGAAAACCTATCACAAACAGTTTTCCGATCTCATTATTCCGAACACGGTTCGTTTTTTTTCTTCTTTAGTGCGATGACTGTTTTGGTATAAATTTGTAACACGTAAATATTGTGCAACAGAAGTATCGTTTGTCCGAAAAATTATTATAATAATTACTCCATATGTGTATTCTTTTGGCAGGAGTGTGTTCTGTCAATTCATCTTACCGCCTGTTTTCCATAAATAGTTTAGATTGCTGAATATTCGTTTCGACAAAATTATTATCGAGTGTCGTGCTAAGTTGTATTGCGATAAATTTGCGCAGTAAATTATTAATTGTGATATACTCGTTCTCGCGGATAATACGTAGCACGATGCGTTGCTGCTTTATGCTATATATAAATTAGAACGACATACCACACGGTGCGTTGAAATGGCCTGCTACCGCAATCAATTGAGATTGATCGCTATGGTTTCAACGTACTAAGTTGCTTTGTAATAGCACGCCGTTTCAAAGCGCCGTGTGACATATTGCTCTGATTTATAATTAGTGCAATACAGCGACACAACGCAACGTCGTCGCAAAGCTATGATTTCAACGTACTAAGTTGCTTGCGGTGGCGCGTCGTTTTAACGCACTGTGGTGTGGTGACACATTGGTCTAATTTATATGTAATACAACGCCAACGCCATTATTATTATAGTACGTTGAAATCATAGCGTTGCGTCGATGCATCGCCCTTAGCAACTAACCGCATTGTAGGTGATCGTGAAATAAGCATTCAGTTATCCGATCACTAGTCAAAACATAAAGAAATGCCTCTCAAAATGGCACATGAACCGCTTAGAGTATATACAAAGAAAGAATATTTCCATTTATTTACCTTACCAGAGTTCCCTTGTAAATCTTTTAAAGCTATTATCTTATTAACCCAAATTCATGTAAATGTAAGCAACCAAAAACCTTCAGTCTGTCAATATATTCCCGCCCTCCCGTAATGCCGTCTCTGGGGATATAAGTACGCGAATAAATAACGTTTTGAGCACTCAGCAGACAGCGGTATCGTATAACGTGTGAAGTGCGCTTTAGGTTGATATCTTGGGAAAAAATCAATTCCTTACACTTTGTGAAGATTTGACGACCTCGGTGGCGCAATGGTTGGAACTGTTGACGCTGGGTCACGGGTTCGATTGCCGGTAGGAACAATTTGGGAAATGAACTTGTTTAAAATTGGTTCTGGTCCGTTACTCAGGTACTCATAGAACAGGGAATTCCCTAGTTGAAGTCCAGTTATTTGGTGCAGTTATGACTGATGTGACGCGTCTTACTAATATATAATGCGCCAGACAACTACTTCAATTGTCTGGTTTTAAACTCAACTCAAACAATGTACTATGAGTACCAGATCAACGGAATTCACTCTGGGACACATGGGGAACACCTAGACCAAAACCAATTTAGAAAAGTTCATTTCCAATTTGGTCCTACCGGAAATCGAACTGGCGACCTCCTCATCAAACCCCCGCAGTATAAACCGCTAGGCCACAGCGAGGTCGCCGGAATAGCACAAATAGCAGTGACATTTGAATATAAGGTAAGTGATTTTCATTCCTACTGATTAGATGAATTCGAAAACTGCTTAAGAATTCATGAAGGACTCATAAGATACACTCAAAGATATCGTCCTCTAGGATAGATTACAAAAGTTGATACAGTACAGAACACGCTTCGGCGACGTCCAATTCTGTTCTTCATAAATCTTTAAACCTTTCAAGGTCTTGTGGCCATGACAGTGGTCGCAATGCCACTCGTTGCCACGAAGCTGCCACTTGAATTGCAAATGGCAGGTATCTGCAACCTCTGACCTTGGTACACGCGACCCCGTGATATCGCCAGGCATGCCTTCATGCCTTTTACATAGTCAGGTTTTATTTGCTGGTCGCTAAATTTTTAACTAGCTACGGACATAGTAGATAACTTTAAATATGTTCTTTCAATCCTACTGTATTTTAGACCTCAAGTTAGAGTATAAAATATTTTCGAAGAATTAAATTTTTGAAGGTACCTACGTATTTTCCTTTTTAGTTAGGTAGGGTAAGATGTCATATTTTATTTTGAGTCAAATGATTTGAGCTCTAGGAAGAACAGATAAAGTCTT